AGTAAAGTTTTACCTACAATGGAGGACTGGAGATTGAAGGTTTCGCATCTTGCTGAAATGGCAAAAATTTCGGCTTATTTGAAGAATCACTCAAATGAACAATTTTTATCAATATGGAGAAGATGGATTGTTTATATTCAAAATAAGCATAGAATGGTGGAATATAATCTAGGCTTTTAGATAATGTGTTTCTTTTTTTTATATATTTCACCTTCTTATGTAGAATAATATTTTGTGGAGTTAGGGATATTAATAGTAGTTTACTTTTAGTTAAATAGTATCCTGGGATAAGGTTTGGGAAGTCCGGGTGGGGGGTGGGGGGTGGGTTTTTATGCATTGTGATGTACTTGTGATGTGTTTTTTTTTAATGATAAAAAACAATAAAAATTTATATTTAAAAAAAAAAAAAAGGAAGTGGCAGCCCGGAGCTTCTTTCCTGAGCCAAACCCAAGAATTAGGGGTTGAGGCTGCCCTCTGTCGGCCTTTCTGCCCAAGCCCTGACCTGCCTCCCTGGGGCATCAGCTCCCTGGCATAGTGAGAAAGCAATTGCAGGCTCCAATTAATCGGATTAAACTGCCCGCCAGCTGCCCTGTAGGGCTGGCCTGCACAGCTCCTTGGGGCGGTGTGAGAGCCCAGTTTAACAGATTGCATCCCTGGGGCCACAGTTAGCTGCTCAGCAGGCGTATGGAAAATCCCATCCAGCACTCCTGCACCTGTGGGGTGGGTGGATCCCTCTGGAGTCGGCCCCTGCCTGCCCCTACTAGATGGGCCATCTCCCCTGCACCCACATAGCCTGGGAGGAAGGAGGCAAACTCTGCAGGAGGTTGGAAGAATAATTATTGTGGTGGAAAGCTGTTCCACATTATGGTTCTCTCTCTCTCTCTCTCTCTCTCTCTCTCTCTCTCTCTCTCTCTCTGTGTGTGTGTGTGTGTGTGTGTGTGTGTGTGTGTGTGTGAGCCTCAAAGGCCCTCCAAGGATCCAAAGCCCTCTCTTATTCCCAGAGAAGTTCCGAACGCCCTTGTAACAGATCAGAGTCTTCCTTGAAACTTTAGACTCTGCTATCACTGTATACTGTTTAAAATGCAATGGACCGTACCAGCAATGGACAGCTTCAGATATATTGTTAATGTACACATTGATAGTTGTGAGTGATGGGAGCAGGTGCAAGGGGGCTAACGGGTGGGAGCAGGACACCCAGCCACACCCAGGTCCAGTCCATGGTGACTTCTCATTGGGGCTGGGTGGCAGCAGCCAAAGCTTTGACTTTTTATCCTCCAAAATGGAAGAAAGAGGACAGCAGGCCTATGTCTTTACCTGTCAACAAGATCTGTGAGACTCTCTCCTCCCTTAACTTTAGAATCAGTCTGCCGGATGCAATGCGGCAACACCGCTGGGCCAGTGACGTTTGGAACAATGGGATCGTTTTCCTTTTGCAGTGTCTGCAAGGACGATGGTGGCAGAAAGAGAGCCACGCAGAGGCAGAGCGAGATGGGGTGGCCATGCCACAGCATGCTGGGAAAGTAATAGAGCACCTTCATCATTCTGACACACACGTGTGTGCTTGCATGCACAGGCAGAGTAAAATTCTGATGGAGAACAAGAGCAAAGGAAATTGTATTCAGGAAAGTGTGAGAGAGATTTAGCTAAGGATGGCAAATGGGTCTCCCCTTTCAAAAAAAATTAAGCAGAAGGGCCTAGAAGCCGAGAATCCCGGGTGCTGCCCTGGCACTGCTTGCTTAAGAAAAGTGGGTGGGGCTTTGGGAGTAGGAGACGGGTTGGCAAACAGACCCAGAGCCAGTGAAGGCACGTTCAGCAGCACCAACAGCCCTTGAAACTCCTCTCTCTCCTTGCTTGGCTGATCTGAAGGTATTCCATGGGGCCTGGAGTTTGACCTTCACACTGCTGCCCTCTGCCGGACGTGGGACCGTCCTTCCCGGTGCAGGGCTCACTGTAGATCTCCAAGGTGGCTGTTGCCTTCAATGGGAGCCCGGCGAGCATCCACACACCCATCGCTTCCGCCCCACCAGTGATGCCCTCCAGATGCGATAGAAGCCGGCTCTCATCATTCCTAGCCAGGAGGGTCAAAGGAGTTTCCAGAAACTGCAGCTGACCCACAGTGCAGCTGCAGGAATGGCGGAGGTCTTCCAGGCAGAGTCTCTTGGAAGGCTGCCTGGTCACCAGCTTGTTTCCCAGCACAGTTCAGACTGCTAGAATTTCCCCCCAAGCGCTTAGATCTGGGCTGCCTCTGGACCACCTCCTCAGCCCCTCCCCACCAGCTCCCTGCTAAAACCTGCTGGAGCCACCCTTCCCAGTCAGAGCTGCTCGGAAGAGAGAGGGCATCCAGGAGAGAAATTGTGGTGGAGGATGATCTATTTGCCTTTACTGGACCCTCTCACACCCCTCTCCAATAGTCCTTGGAAATCAACCTCAGACGCTGCAGGCCATTGCTCTGAATAATGCTCTTCCCTTAAGGAGCCCATTTGCCAGAAGCAAATGTTCAGGTTGTCTGCCTGTCTGTCTGAGGAAGGCTGAGCGTTTGTCATTTAGAGGCACTTTGCTCCCCAAGTCCCAGAATATGGGGGGGGAGGAATGGTGCCCCCGCCTTCTTCAGCAGCCGTCTTTGTTCTCTTGCTGGCTTACCGATGGATGGCCAGTGACCCGGAGAGGAAGGTCCTCTTAATGGAGCACATGTGCTGTGTCTCCAAACAGCTGCGAGAGAGATTCCCCTGGGGATTTAATGGAGCAGAAGGTGCAATCTGCTGCCCTCAGCACTTTGGAGAGCATTACGCGGGAAGCACAAGTCTGGAAGAAAGTGGTGTGGGGAGACCAGGAGTGCATCTCTGCTATTTTCCCAGCCCCGGGCTCGAGCACCGAGTCCAGATATAGGAAAGGCTCACAATTTAGATAAAAACAAGAATGTCTGAGAGGCTAAGCTAGAAGGGCGGTACCCCCTAAGCTGCTCGGCCATAAGATGTGCTTTTCAGGATATTTGGAGTTGCCGCCTTCCCTCTTTAATCTGGAGTGGGAAATTCTTCTTCTGATGCCTTCTGGTTGTGGAGGCGAAGATGAGGCTCAGTGCCAGAGGGCCTTCAAGTGCACAGAGTTGGCACAGGTGTGTGAAACAACAATGGTTTGGCAGTCTCAAATCTATTAGACAGTATACCTCCCTCTGGGAGGGTGGGGGGAATGATGACATTGACTTAAAGATCACGGGGTCTTTGTGCTGGAAGCCTCTTGGGGCTGCTTAATTGGCGCTTCCACTTCTGAGCCTTGGGGGTCTCGGTCAGAGTCAGGGTTACAAGCTGTTCTGTTCTTCCACGAGCAGTCAGACATTGACAGGGACCTGGTTGAAATGAAAGCTGGAATGTGGACGTAAGACGTGAGGTGGGGGGTGGTGAAGCTTTCTAGCAAATGGTCTGGATAAACCCTTCAACCAGAAAGAGGTGGGTTAGCAATCAGGGAAAGAGGAAGAACGGTGCTTATTTAATTGTTTTTTATTGCTTTAAAAGAAAAAGAAACAAAACAAAGACATAATTGTGATTCAAACACACACACAAAAACTACATGTAAAAAATGCTTTTAAAAAAGTGAATGCAACAGAAAAAAGAAAAAACAAAGTGTATGATTGTAGCATTTAAGTTACGATTCTATTTACTTATCTAATGTAAATATTATTCAAGTACAGTCCATACACATTAATTTCTAATGCATTTATATAAATATTTTAACCTACTATATTTTATATAAACGTGTTCCATATTTCATCATACTTGTCTGTACAAAATCTATGTCTCCACTCATAGGTAACGAGTGCAATCAGGACTTCAATCCATTGGTTGAAAGGGGCTGCTATACTTTTAACTTTCCAATGTTGCAATATTGTATTGGCCTTTTGGCCATAATAAGAGCAAGGAGAATCCATTTACATTGTCAATTATCCAATTCAATTTCCTGTCTATGGAGTTCAAAAGAATATCGTCCTGTGAAAATGTTTAGCCTTTGTCACCCCGTGAGCTTCAACAGTGCTTGAGAGCCAGAGCCATCTTTTCAATATATTTCTATAGCCTGTTTATTGCTATATATTACTGTTTGTCGATCTTGATGACTATAAAATGTATGAATTTCAACTCTCAGAAGATGCCAAGGTGGAGAAACATGCAACAGAGGATAAGTGGTTACTTTGCACGGAGCAATATTTGAAAACTCCAATGCAGAACAACAACGGGACTCGGGAGATCTCATTCCCAAGAGCTTCCCCAGTGCTGGACCTGTCAAGAAGCCCAGAGGTCAGGCCAGGAAGAGCAGCCCACAGCCTCCCTTGGGCCTCAGGGGATGCCAGCCAGACCCTCCTCCAGGGGTTCTGGGCAGCTCTGCTTCCCTGCCCATCAAAAGGCCCTGCTGTCAATCAGCGGAGGGCCCTGTGGGCACCAAGCCTCGCCCACTTTCTGGTCCTGGCACGGATGACGCAACAAGCAGACGTCACAGAGGGCTCTTATGACGTCAGGAGGCTGAGGGCGGGGCGAATGACCTCACCCCTCCGGAACTCGTGCGGCGCGCTCTGGTTCCCGGGGGGACGCCATTCGCGGACGGACCAGTAGGCCGACGCCGGCCCTTCGTTGCGGTGAGTCGGGCGGAGGGAGCCGGGTAGGGGATCGGCGGTGGCCCTTTGCCCCTCCGCGGCGGTGGGCGATGGGGCGTGTAGTCCGGCGCGTCGGGGAAGACAGGAAGGGGCCAGGGCCAGGGAGCGCTGCAGCAAGGGCGGTGAGAACGGGGGGGGGGGGGTTCGCCGCCCTCGGGATTTGAGAAGGGACGCCCGAAAGGGGTGTGCTTGCTTTCGGGTGCCTGTGGGCAAGGCACGAGCGTCTCCATCGTTGTCATCATCATCAGTAACAACAACAACATCATACAGAAGTAAAGAGGAATTTCCTGGCAGTGAGAACAGTCAGCCAGTGGAGCTTCGCTTCCCTCCATAGAGGTTGTGGATGCTCCATCACTGGAGGCTTTTAAGAAGAGACTGGGCAGCCACTTGTCTGGAGTGGTTACAGGGTCTCCTGCTTGAGCAGGGGGTTGGACTAGAGGACCTCCAAGGCCCCTTCCAGCCCTAGGATTCTATGATCACCATTATTAGATTTTTAGCCATACATACCCAGTGTGTCTGTACTTGTGTATGCCAGAGTGACAATTCAGCCTTAATGGCACTTTTTCTACTCGGATGTAGCTGCTGAAATCTGGAGCACATTTTGGTGGTTGATAAGTGAGGGAAACTGGCTAAATTATAGAAATGGTGAGTAATATACCCTCTCTCGACGGCTGCCAGTGAATTCAAATCCCGCAACAGGCAAACATTGGAGGCCATGAAATTTCTCTCTGAAGCAGCCTGCCAAAGGGAGAATGTGTGCGAAAGAGTGACAGATTGATGCCAAGTGATCCAAAATTGTGACCTTGACACACACACACACACACACACACACACACTAGTAGAGGACAAGGTGAAGACCCTTTGAGGATACCACTCCAGTGCAGCATCTTGTCTCACAGAAGAATGTGTGATTTTGTGGACTTCCAATTAGCATCTTTTGTAATGGTTACCACCTCTACATCCATCAGCCAGAAACTGTTTTGAGAGACCTTTAGAGGTTAGCTTTTGCTCACAGCCATACTCATACACAGTGCATAGGCTTTTTTTTAAAAAAAAAATCTGTGCTTCCAGGGAAGAATGTGTGAAATGAAACAAAAGAAATGTGCTACCCTGGAAGTGTTTTTTAATGGTATATTTGGTTAAAAGCTTTTCCTAAGTACAGTCAACTTCTTACAGTGAGCATTGAAAACTGGGGAAGATTGATGCATCTGTGCAAAAAATGTTTTGTTTTCTAGCTTAGAAGAAAAAGAAAAGTTTAGGTGGGTGCTTTGTACTTAGCTGGCGAAAGTTATGTTTTTGGAACAAGACTATGCCTTGTTCCGTAATGCATTCAGAAGTTTATTTTGTATGAGCTTTATTGTAATGTTGACCTGTTTGGAAATAATACTATATATTCATCAGCTCCCTGCAAACAGGCCTATTATCTTTCCTTCACTTAATGCAGGGTTAAGCTGGAGTTGTGTCGAATGTGTGACTTTGTGGTTTGCAAATTCATGAATTTTCAAATTCATTTAATATTTAGTCCCTGTTTCTTTACAATTCTTCCTGGATCTTACATTATCTCCTCAATATTTATCATAGAAGAAAACAGATTCCATTCTCTATATGTTGTATCTCTTTTCTAGTGTTTGGATTGATTTTAGTTTT